AAAACTGTCTGGGCTGCTTTCATGCTTAGATTTAATTTGCATAGTATTCCTGGACATGATGCCGTGTCAGTGCTATTGCATTACAATCCTCCGAGCACCTTGTTTCTGTAGTTTCAGCCTTCAAGTGAGGAAATGTGTTGTCAAGGATGGACAAAGTAAATGAAACTACAGTTGAAACTACTTTAAACTTTGATTTTGAAAAACTGTGTCAAACAATTTCAGAAAGTGTTCCTGATCCCTGACAGCCTGCTGGGCTCTCGCTGCCACTGCAGGGACAAGACCTCAGTGTTGATGTTCAGCCTTTTCCCTTAAACACAGATGAATCTGGAGTCCATTCCTGTGTATATTAGACGTGGAGATATTCAAAGAAAATGTTATGTTGAGGAACATTATTCTGGAATTGTTGCACAATTTGTACAGTTTTGCTGATGGATGAACCCTCGCCCATCTTTACTTTTGAGAAACTCTTCTAAGATGTTCTTCTTATAACCAATCAAACACTCACCTGTTGCCATTTAACCGTGTCACTTAAGTTCCTCCAGCTGTATTTTTTTTACTTTTTCAGCCTTTTGTTGCCCTGACGATTATTTAGACAACCTTTATTTATAATTGAAACATCTGATTGCACAAGTTATAAAACCAATGAAACATGAAAGTATGTTTTCTTACATTCTGTCTCTATCAACAGTGCATATTTATTGATGATATAGGGTGTAATCAAAAGGCCTATAAAATCTAAAGATCATGTTCCAATGCGCCTCTGGACCATCTCCAGCATGACTTCTTAGATCTCTCGGGGGAAGTCCTGTTATGTCCCTTTGTACTTGTTCTTCTGAAATACGTGCTGGATGTTCTCCAAACTGCTTGGCACCAACAAGAGACCCAGTTATGATCCATTATCACAAAATGTGGTCAATTTGAAACAGAAGTTGAAAGTTTATCTGCTTGAGGTCTATGGTGAAATGACATCAGCACATCAGTGACTGGCAGTTTTTCTTTTAATTAATTAATTTTTTAAAGATGGCCGCCCCTCACTGAGCCTAGTTCTGCTGGAGGTTTCTTTGTGTTAAAGGGAGTTTTTCCTTCACCAAGTGCTCGCTCAGAAGTGGTTGTCTAGTCGTTGGGTTTTCTTGTAGGGTCTTTACCTTAAACTGTTGTTGATATTTGGTGCCAAACAAGCTTGAAGGAGAGACAGCTACATTGAAATCAGGCAGGGTGTTTGTTACGGGCCTCTTCCCAGAACGTTTTGGTCACATCTTATATTCTGGGCTGAATGAATTGTTTTCATACTCTGGTAATTTCCTGTCTTAAAGTCTTACACATGAAGAAACCGTTGGATTTGAACTCTGATATGCTGTTAATGATCCAGCAGTATACGTTTGCATTTCTCCACTGACCTGATAATTGTTTGCATGTGTTTCTGCTGATGTACAGAGAGCATTTTCTATGGATGACAGGATAGCGTGGACACATGTCACCATCCCTGAAGGCCTGAGGGAGGGCAGAGTGGTGGATGAGTGGTTCAGCCTGAGTGGACGGCAGGGTGACGACAAGGAGGGCATGATCAACCTGGTTATGTCTTTTACTGTGAGGACATACACGCACCCTTCATCAGATAAGATGCATCACACGTCTGTGTTAAATCACAGATCTAGTTTAGGTTATGCTGTTACGATGGATACACAGTCAGTTTATTATTCCCACAAGTATTTGGACAATGACACAGTTTCCATAAATTGTTTTGTATAGTGTAACAAAACGAATCTTGAAAGCTTGGAACATGATAGCCTCTAATATATATTATTAATTTTTATTTAGTTTCAAGGAAAAGGCTTTAAAAATGACCGAGTGTTGCTTCACTGTCAGGAAATATGTTGAAAAGCATCTTTCATTTCTGTTTCATTTATTTCCATGAAGTTAAGTTGTTAACCTGTCTTTGTGCCAGTCTTTACCAGCAGGAATGATGACTCAGCCTGTTGTCTTCATGCCATCTGTGTATCAACAAGGAGTGGGATACGTGCCCATCACAGGTCAGTCAGTTAGTCAGTCAGGTATCTAATA